GAATGGCTCTAGGTCTGGAAAGTGCGTGTTCAGTTTTGATTCTGAAGTTTCAGTCGCTGAGATATGATGCTATTCACTGGCGCCGACTACATGGGGGCATCGGGGCATCGGGGCATCGGGGCATCGGGGCATCGGGGCATCGGGGCATCGGGGCATCGGGGCATCGGGGCATCGGGGCATCGGGGCATCGGGGCATCGGGGCATCGGGGCATCGGGGCATCGGGGCATCGGGGCATCGGGGCATCGGGGCATCGGGGCATCGGGGCATCGGGGCATCGGGGCATCGGGGCATCGGGGCATCGGGGCATCGGGGCATCGGGGCATCGGGGCAGGTGCACCCATGAGCAACCTCTCATGGGTGCGGAGCACCCATGTGAGCTCTCGTAGGAAATACGGAAGTACAAACGTGTTGCTCATTCCGTTCCATGTGGTAATATTCAGTATCATGTAATTTAAATGTACACAACTTTGTATAAGAATTATACAAGTGGTGTGTGTGTGGTGTGTGATATTCTGTCCATCTGTCCTTCCGTTATTTGTGGTCAGTTCTATGCTCTAAAAAATTATGTAGGCAAAATTATTCTCTTGGTTTTATTCAAGTTTGTTGCTTTTTGGTAATTTCGCTTATGAAATTTTTGACAAAACCACTCGCTTTACGGCTCGTGGTCATTCGCGAAATTGCCAAACTTCTATACCGGTCGAAAATTTTGCTAACAAATTTTTTCTTGTGGTATTATATATGAGACAATTAGGCAATCTATTCCAATATGGCCGTTCAAGTCAAATTGTGGTGACGTTCATAAAAAAAAGCATTTTATTCAGGGCCTTAATGTTGTAGATGCCAAACATGACAATATGACAATGTCAATGTCAAACCCAGTGTTGCCAACCCAGCCTACATGAAATATCGTAACGAGCACTTGAAAATTATCGCATTCTGTCAAAAATTATCGTATTTTGCAGATACAAGTTTCCATGACAAAAAAATAGTACCTATATATTGTTTTATTAGGAGTAAAAATTATACTTTTTGAAGCGAGACTTAAGTTCTGTTCGCACATCAATCACAAACCAGTCAGAGCAAATTTCATTGGTTCAAAACAGTCAGAAACAGTCAGAAAACTAGTTTCAACCAATGAAATTCACTCTGAATGGTTTGGTTTGTGATTTCTTAGCTACACAGCTTTACACAAAAAGTACACTTTTTTGTACGCTCACGTCACGGCCAGACAAAAAAGTAACAAAAAAATGACGTCTGTGAAATCAAACTTCAACATTAACAGTTAAAGTAAAATTGCATCTGCGAGCAACAACAGCAAATTTTGACGGACGTCACGAGTTCACTTATCTTTTTTTTACGTGTCAAATCACGTGACATCTGTCAAATTTTGCTCATTTTGCTCGCAGATGCAATTACCGAACCCTATTCTTATGACATTTTTGACGTTTAAACTATAATCTAGTCATCATCCTACAAGTCTTTGAGGAAACGCTGATACGATTAACCCGATCGCAAGTTATTTATTTTTCATTTTTGTTCAATGAACTCATATGAAAAAAGACAAATTACATCAGCTGGTGATCGAGTTAAACGGATTAGCGTTTTCTTAAAGGCCTTATGACATATGATAACAAAGACAGCGACCCTCGGCAAAAGTCCAAACTTGTGCTTTCCAAATTCCCTTGTTGCCATTTCTCATGTCAAGACATTGAATATTTCTCATTGTGAAAAACGTGAAGAGAAAAATCATAGAAGCCAAAACTATAGTATAATTGCATACGATAATTTAGTTGCTATCGTATATCGTATTGAGCTCACAATTATCGTATAAATATGATAATTATCGTATGGTTGGCAACGCTGGTCAAACCTAAATGTCCAGAATGTGACAAAATAATAATTTTTCATTGATTTCTGTCAATAACCATGTAAGGTCTGTTCCCACAGGAGTCTCTGACAGTTTGCAAACTGTCAGAGACTCCTGTGGGAACAGACCTGTAAAGAACACGGTGTCAGACCTGAACTTCCATATTGAATTTTGTTTGACAGGTCACGAGATTGCCTAATAATTTTTATTTGTAACACATAGGTAATTGCATACATCATAGTTTACATAAATATTATATTAAATTATTATAGTGCACTAAGTATGTGCAAAGTGCAAAGCCAAAGCCAAACCCAAAAAATATATATACTAACAATAAACTATATCGATATATTTTAATCGATATTTTACATTCGATATATCGAAAAAAATATCGATAAAGCTAATAATCTTTTCGATGTATCGGAACTTTAAAATAATAGTTCATTGGTTGACAGTGACAGTCTGACAGTTGACAGAGGCGGCTAAAATGGAACAAAACGTCAGTTAGGGCGTGTGCGGTGTGCGTAGCAATTAAATGAGGAAAAGAGATTTTCCGCATGATTAAGGAACGTTATTTTTTCACGACCGTGCGGAGAAGTACTTTTCCAGGCGGATTTCAGGATATGAAAGTACCAGGGTGACTTAAACATTGCATAATTATTTTACTTTTCCGCACAAGTGCCTAAATGCGTGCAGAAAAAAATATTTTTGACCATGCGGTGTTGCCGCTTATACTCTAAACCAGTGGCAACAATGCTATTTTTAATGGAACACCCTGTATGTGATTGAATATTTGGATTCTACATAAAATTCTGAGCAGATTTCGTGCGTTATACCCTATACCTAAGTTCAACTGTTTTGGAAATATTGACAGTTGAAAATTGACTTTTTGTAACTTTGACAGGCTGTTAAACCTGAACGGTTAATTTTAGAGAAAAACCGATTTCACATTCCTATCTTAGATTTTCATAAACTATCATTTGACACCAACTTTGAATTTAATCGGAGATTAAATTTAATTTGAATTTTTAATCATGGATTAAATTTATAGTTGATGTCAAATGATAGTTTATGGAAATCTAAGATAGGAATGTAAAATCAGTATTCATCAATAATTAACCGTGTAGGTTTTACATCCTGTCAAAGTTGCAAAAAGTCCATTTTGAACTGTCAATATTTCCAAAACAGTTGAACTTAGGTAAAGGGTATATCACATGAAATCTGTTTAGAATTTAATGCTTACACTAACGAAAATCCCGCCATATTTAAGACTCTAACGGCCAATGCCAAGGTGCTTATACAGGGTGTCCCAAAAAGATACCGACAAACTTTACGGGGTAGTAGGGGACATCAAAACAAGCATTTTTGTTTATATAAACATATGTCCGCAAATGAGCCATTTGGGCTGTAGAGCAAAAAAACTGTTTGGTATCTAGTTTTATTCTTCGCAATAATTAAATCACTGTTTACTTATTAATTTTGCTTTAATAGCAAATAAATTATGGTTTACAATAATTGTTCAACTCGCGAACTCTTTGGAATATTCCGGGAATAGCTTCTACATGGGTACAACTAGCCAGAATCCTTGCTATCAGATCTTCCTTATTACGAACAGGTTTTTCGTATACTAATCTTTTCAGTCAATGACCCGACGGTGTAATCTTTGCATTGGAGTAAATGGTCAACATTTTGAACAATTATTGTAAACCATAATTTATTTGTTAATAAATAAGCAAAATTAATAAGTAAACAGTGATTTAATTACTGCGAAGAATAAATGTATCAAACAGTTTTTTTGCTCTACAGCCCAAATGGCTCATTTGCGGACATAAGTTTATATAAACAAAAATGCTTGTTTTGATGTCCCCTACTACCCCTTAAAGTTTGTCGGTATCTTTTTGGGACACCCTGTATATAAAGCAGTTGACACAATTTTTTTTGGAATTTTAAGCGATACCGGTGGCGGACAATTTGAATTGTCCCACTAAGGAACCTGTCCCACTATACAACAGTTTCCCCTATAGATTATGGTCGTTTATCCTGGTTGCCAAATTTTCAAAATGATCCGCTTTTTAGTTTTCCATTAACGTCCAATACGCCATCCACCGTGGGACACCCTGTATGTTACGTTCTCTCTGTGACGGGGGGTGTATAAGATAGATAGAAACTCGCTCAATTTTATATAAAAAAAAGTGTATATTTGCTAAGAAATTATTACGTCATGAATCCTCAAGGATGCTACTTGGAACTTTTGGAAGGAATGTCTGTTTGATGCTAATGTTACGTAGAATGTTAATCGTCGTTTAAGTGCTCCTCATCTAGAGGGGCTGAATCGATTATTGAAGAACTTTAATTCGACATTTTCAAGTTATTATTAATTTTATTCTATTTTCAATAACAACAAACTTCATTGCGCAATTATTATCCTATTTAAATCCACTGACTGACTCATAAACTACGCGCTTTATATGCAGAACCATTTTATCCTAAATATTTACGTTCGGGTTACAACAGCGACTGTTGGAAAAATAATTACCAACACAAGTTTATCAGCTCATTCCTATGCTTGCACATCTCTACTTTACGTCAATGTGTCTGTCAAGTGAAGTGTCAAGTGTTGTATTAAAAAGAGAAGAGAAGCAAGATTATTATTGATCGGGAACGAACGTTTAGATTTTAGTCAGTCACATCTCGTTTCACATTAAAAACTTAAAAATAATATTAGTCATTGGCTCTTCCTTCGAGGAATCCAAGAACCAAGTTGTTGTCAAGTCGTGAGATTAGTAGTTTTGCGAATTTAAATAAAGAAGACTTTTCTGCAAGAAGAAACAAGTGGTTTTAGTTCATGCAGCCATTTCCCTCAAATCTTGATCAGCCAGGAGAAAGGCCTCCAGAACCAGAAAATTCTTAATGTAAATATTCTAACAGCGACATCGACCTCACCGTACCGATGTAGGTAATTTCGTAACAATAGATATTGGTTTAAACGTCAGCGAAGCAGAAGCCTCCATCCTTGTGAAGTACAGCTATTGCACAGTCGACCATTCCACATCCAACTGCCAACAGATCGATGTCACAATATGTGAGACAATACTTTTAATTAACTCGATTTTTGAAACAACTGTCATTTTTTTACCATTGAATAAACATTACATACTTTTAAAAGTAAAGGTTTTAGTGACTATTGCCAACTTGCAATAGAAGGAAAACAAGCAGAAAAATCAATCCTCCTAATTTTAAGAAAAATCTTTATTGAAAAATCACATTTGTGTCCTTATTTATCCCATATCGCATCCAGAAATGGCAACAATTTCTCTCGGGCATACAACTTGTTTGAAAGTGGCTGGAGGGTTCGAGCATCCATTCAAGAATTCCCACCTGAATTTGCATCCAGGTTGCAAAACTTGAGGTAATTGGTTGCAGTCTTGTTCGGTGTATACACCTCCGTATTGGTCACCCCAACCTTTATCTGGAGCGTTCCATTGTTTCTTGCATCCTTGGGTATAGTAACCGACACCACCTTGAAAAAATTGTTATTTTTATTTTAAATCGTACCTATGCGGAACTGAAACTTTGGAAATCGAAATTGGGTTTTTTCTTACCTCCTGGCATGGCGTATTCAATGTTGTTTTCAGTACTGTTCGTGCTGCTGCTACCGCCACCGGTGTTGGTGATTTGGAGTACCATTTGTTTCCCAGAACAGTTACCCCATGGACCCTTTCCGAAGGTTACCAAGAAACAGGTACAGCACATGTTTTCTGGTGGATTGATGAAGGCAGCTGCTGCGAATCTATCCAAAAAAAAAAAACACAAAAAAGTTACTTTCTGGCATTTGCTCAAAGCATGGTTGGGATAAATATTCAAGTTAACTCTGTGTCACTAGAAAGATTCAGGTAATCAAAGAATGTTGAAGAGATTGCCTTTGTCTTACAACTGTCATCTATTTCGGAACTCAGTATGGCACGCTGAAAAAACTCTGAAGAACATCCTACAATATCAGAAGAGAATAATAAAACTTTCTACAAGAAGTGAGACATCAGACACACTCATTAAAAGTCCATCGAGCTATCGGACAACAATTCGTTTATTCAACATCAATGTTAGGTTTGTGCTTTCCATATGGATGCGAAACCAAAGATTTTACCCTACTACATCACCAACCAACTTTAAGTGTTCGTCCATAAATATTTCCAGGAAATACTGCACATCTCTTGTCCAAACCAAATCAACAATGATCTGCAAATGTAGCAAATGGAATTCGCTAAGAATAAATATCAAGACTAGCAAAAATCTGCAAACAGAATTCAATATCCGAGCTGCGACAGGCATCATTGGGGGAAGGGAAGTAACAGAGTAACTCTGGTTTGAATCCCGAGACTCTCTATACACCGTTCCCAACAGTAATTCAGAAAACATCAAAATGTATTCAGAACAGTCAAATGAAAATCAGAAAGCATCAAGTATAATTTAACAAAAGTAATCAAAAAAGCACGTGATGTGCATATTTCAGATTTATCAAAAGTGATTCAAAATGTGATGCATTGTGAATAATCCAAAAAACACTGTATAGTGCATATTTCAGATTAATCACAAAAACATCAATAGTGTTTCAGAGTCTGTAAAATGTAATTCGGAAAATAATAAATGTTTCTGAAACCATCGCATCTAATTTACTTCTAATCTGTCTGTAAAATCTAATTCTTCCGATTCTACATAAAAACGAGTCGAAAGATATTTGTTCTACTTGCGGTGTATTAATGACGAGGAAGCCGGTGGTAAGAGTACTTGCCGGGGTAACAACAGAAATGTTGAATATTTGAAGAATTTATGAAAAACATTCCAACAAGATAGAGAGCTAACTGTTTTTTTTTGTGCAAACCCAGGGGAAGATTGGGTTAATTTGGCTGCAACATTGGAAGTAAAATCCAAAACAGCATTCACTGGGTATCTTCTGGCCGAATAGAAAAGAACAAAGGAGGTGGAAATAAACCAAAAGCTTTGATTGAGGCAGAAATTGGAATTAAAGGTTGGGTTTTGAAGAAAATTATGACCTATCTCTAAAGCAGATGTGTAGAAAGACCACAGAACCAGTGTAACGAAGTTTCAGTATTTTTCAACTTAATTTAATTATTAATTGCGTGACCTAATTTTCAATTTTCACGGCGGTATTAATTAAAATCCTCTTTATATTATTTTCAAATATTAAATACATTATCATGATTTCGCGTGACCTCGCCTGGAATCTACCGATACCAGCAGAGTCTCGGCCGGTTTCAGCTAATTTGCATATTTCCGTGTACCCCGCCGCGTCCATTACCCAGCTTTTCGGCTATAAATTGGGCAGAATTTGCTGATAAAGTACCTACAGTCTGCCACCGGTCTCCAAAAAGTCAGCCGACCTGACAGTAGTGGTAGCAGCATCACCACCAGAACTGTCCGAGGTAAGCCAACCCGCCGTAACCACACTAGAGGTCAGTTCCTGCAGGGTCGCGAATAGGGATGGCTGATCCAACAAATTTTACAGATCAGTTCCGAACTGATCCGGTCCAAACAGATACCTGTTCCATGGATCAGTTCCAAGTTCGAGTCCGGCCGAGTCGAACCAAGAATCGATGAACCGAACCGAAATACTGGTTTTTCCTATTTTGGCGAAAATAGCAAGAGGGTTGCTAAATTTTCTAGACAACATCTAGCATCATAGCACCTAGATCAGTTCTGTGCCGTTCCATGTATATCCTATCGCCAGTTCACTCTCGTATTCTCTACGTTCCAGCGGCCGCGCTGGTGCGGCGTGCGGCGTCATCCCGACAATCCCGAACTGTTGACCGAAACGAGTCTGTCGATGTAGTGTACTCCGTACTCCGTCTCTGACTCCGTGTCTCTAGTCCGAGTTCGCACTTTTCCCTGTTCCGCCGACCGACGCGGCGCGATCCGAGTGCATACAACGTGAATAGCGCAAAAGTGGTCCGGACTCGAACTCGAACTTGGACCAGTTTATTTTGCAATCGATCAGTTTCCACTGTGAAGATCAGTTCCGCGGGAACAGTTCCAGTATTAGGCAGTCATCCCTAGTCGCGAATTACCAGAAGGTAAAAATCTATTATAAGCTTCACTAAGATTTTCGCCCGGTACCTTGGACGGGTAAATCTTTTCCTGCAATAGGGGTTTCGCCAGGTACCCTGGACGGGTAGTCTCTATTGCTCTTAGAACTTCGCCCGGTACGCTGGACGGGTAGTTCTGTATGAGAGATTTTCGCCTAGAACCTAGGACAGGTATTTCTCTCCGAAGCTTATATGGTATCTCTAATCCGTTAAATGCACGATTCGAGATCTGACGCTCATGTAGTAGTAGTGGTGTCCGTATATTTGCTTGGGTTACCGGAGTTTGTTTTACCGCTTTATTGTTATTTAACATTTGCCGTTAGCGTTAACGTTACCGGAAGTTTTAGAGCTACCGGAAGGGTAACCGTTCCGTTATCGCTACCGTTAATTTTTCCGGACACGCTTTTCACCGCCCGCATGGTCACGCTTTTACCGAACGCACATAATTTTTCACTCATTTAATTATCTCTCTCTCACGCATCCCAATTCATTCTTTCACAGGGTTAATTAAGGTTTTTTCCTGTAAATATTTTCCGGTAATACAGAGTGTTATATTTATTTAAATCTATCGTCTGTTGTATTTCTTTTCCCTAAACCAAAGTTTTCAGAAAATTTTGCAGAGCAAGCGTCTGTGACTCCTGGATTACCGTTTCTCCACTGTAACAAGCTACCTGGTGCACGTGGGCCCTCAGCCACTTTAATTACCATTACCATTAGATAAAACCGACTTACACTAAACCTGTGTTGATTACGCAACAAAAGCGCCTTACACCAGTGAGCAAAATTGTGTCTCAATCGACAATTGGGAACTACTTAGAAGATCGTATTTTTACTTAAAACCATAGCTTCACAGTCCGTCTTTTTAATCTGATACTCCGAAAAAATGGAATGTGAGCTGGTGGCTCCCTACCCTACGTTAGAACGCCAACGATCACCTGTTTTTGCCGTATGCTTCACACTTCGTTTTCAGTGTCAGGTTAAAAATGACGGACAATATACAGGGTGTCCATCTATAAACTGACACATTTTACTTGCTTATAAGTCGAGAACGAAAAAAGATATCGATATGCGGTTTTCACTGAACTTCATCAATTTTTATAAAGTTTTTTTTTAACAGTGTTGCCAAGTTTCAAAATTTACCTGATATAGGAAGAAAAAAATTGATGATTTTCAGAGGCCGATTTCGCATAAATTTCAAATGGACCACCCTGTACTTTTCAATTTTAAATGATAGCCTGTTAACTCTCCTTTCTGAAAATTCATAAATTGTTTTTCAATGCTTTAATTTTTTTTGTCCGGAGCCAATTTTAGTGAATGACCCCTTTTTGATAGTTTTTCCCTCATTAATTAATGAATAATGAAAATTTTATGGTAATTGCCTATATATCGCTTTAGCATGATTAAAATTCAATGATTTGCGCTATTGTCATGTTTATAGAAGGTATCTATTTTATCTAATTAATAACAACTGGAAAATCCACAGGTTGCTAATCGATGAAAGATTTCAAAATGAAATTGAAAGATATCGAAACTGAAAAGGATATTTTTTCACTTTACTTTGCTCTACTTCCAAACTCCACTCAGCTGGCCAGCTCATTCAGGAAGTTCAGGTCCCATGCGTAGGAGTCCAACGAAACCGTCTTGATTTAACTGGTTGCGGCAAACGAAAAACCGCGGGTCTATTTTCTCGAAACACACGAAGCGGGCGAAGTGTTTTTGGCAACTGGTCCTGCTTGTCGGCAGGAAGTGCCAGGACTTTCCGGTACCCTTTTCAGTGTTTTAACGCGCGCATTTTTAAAAGCCAAATTTAGCAAAGCCGTATCATTCTTGGCCATAGAGCACGCGCAATCCAATTAGATTAAGAGAAAAACAAAAAATAAAGAAAAACTAATCAATTTCCATTCCCAAATAGGATTTAACATCCTAAATACGCAATTTAACCTACAACTATATACAGGGCGCGTAGACGAAACTGAACATAGAATTTATAAAAAATATTCCTAGCAAGATAGAGAGCTAATTGTTTTTTGTGCAAACCGAGGGGAAGATTGGGTTAATTTGGCTGCAAGTAAAGTCTAGAACAGCATTTCACTGAGTATCTTCTGGCCGAATAGTAATGAACAAAAAAGGTGGGAACAAACCAACATCTTTGATTGCGGTAGAAATTGGAATTGAAGGTTGGGTCAAGTTGGGTTGAAGAGAATCATGACCTGTCTCTGATGCAGATGTGTAGAAAGAGCACAGTTGTGCAAAAATGTGTCTCAATCGATAGTTGGAAACTACTTAGAAGGTTGTATTTTCACTTTAAACCAGCTTTACAGTCCGCCGTTCTGGTTAGTAATTTATTCAAGGTGTTTGGACTCCGGAATCCCAGTATTACTGATATTTTTGATTGTAAAAACAGTAAATTTCTCCATGATATGATCTGTGATGATATACAGGGTGTCACGAAAGGTTTGTTACAAACTTTTAGGGATGGTAGATCTCGTAAAAATAAAACTTTTTTTTAATAAACATGTGTCCGGAAATGCTTCGTTTTCCAGATATACAGGGTGGCCCAAATTTCAGCCTCATCATTGTGATTTTGGTAACCGTAAGAGATACGAGGTCGGTTAAATTATGGCAAAGTTGCGCAATTTTATGACCAATGGAATGCCGTTTTGAAACTAGAAAGATTCCGAATACTTCCGGAGATATTCGGAAAAAACCAAAATTTTGTAAAATCATTTTTATTTTTTCCCCGGCTTATTTGAAAAGCAATTTTAAAATAAATGTCACTTCATCATTATTACTTTTTCCCCTTTAGAAGATGGTGTTACTAAATTTAAAATTCGACGTTTCGTCTTCAGGCGGCCATCCTCAACTTCCTTTTTTTAAATACGGACCTGAATTTTTTATTTGCGATTTTCTCATCTTTGCGCATCCTAAAACCGATACTGTTTATAATTTTTCAATAACACAGTAAAAAAAGCAGGTCCATATTTAAAAAAAAAAAAAATCATAATTTCAGAGGAACGAAACGTTGTATTTTAAATTTAATACCGCCAGCTTGTAGAGAAGAAAAAGTGATAATGGCAAGGTGAAATTAGTTTTTCACAATCTTTTTAAATAAAATCAGGAAAAAATGAAAACTATAGGAAAAAAAATGAATTTCAAATACGGACCTGCTTTTTTACCGTGTTATTGAAAAATTATAAACAGTATCGGTTTTAGGATGCCCAAAGATGACAAAATCGCAAATAAAAAATCTAGGTTCTTATTTAAAAAACGTAAGTTAAGGATGGCCGCCTGAAGACGAAACATCGAATTTTAAATTTATTACCACCATCTACTAGAGGGGAAGAAGTGACAATGATGAAGTGACATTTATTTTAAAATTGCTTTTCAAATAAGACCGGGAAAAAATAAAAACGATTTTACAAAATTTTAGTTTTTTCCGAATATCTCCGGAAGTATTCGGAATCTTTCTAGTTTCAAAATGGTATTCTATTGGTCATAAAATTGCGCAACTTTGCCATAATTTAACCAAACCCGTATCTCTTACGGTTACCGAGATACCAATGATGAGGCCCAAATTCGGGACACCCTGTATATCTGGAAAACGAAGCATTTCCGGACACATGTTTATTAAGAAAAAAGTTTTATTTTTACGAGATCTACCATCCCTAGAAGTTTGTAACAAACCTTTCGTGACACCCTGTATAAAAAGGCAATTCTAGTTATTTGTCATGGAGTTAACTAATGATAAAAGTACCTATTCTGAACTCACCCATAAGCCAAAGTAGAGTTGATGATGATACTTTGTTGGTTATTGCACATGTAGGCGCTTCCGTCTTCACATCCTGATTGAGTATTTCCATCGATGGCGTGGTATCCGTCAGCAGAACAAGATCTCACTGGTCCTAAACATTTTTATTAATTTACAGTTTCTGTTGCTACAATAGGTACCTACCTACTACTACAGTATTTAAGAGACAATTTCGCTCGTGCTATATATAGTAAGATTACAGTACAATATGTCTGAAATGACGAAAATGGTGTAAGAAACTTTAAAACTTTGAACGAAAAAGTAGATAGGCTGTGTGACGCTTAACTCGGCCTCGGAGTTGCTACGAAAAAAGATTTCTGAATTGTCTCCAGGACAATCACCTTTTTCGAAAATCTTGACAAGGAAGATGAATCTGGAGAAGAACAGGTATAACAAATAGAAATAAAATGATGAGCGAAATAATGGGTGGGACCCGGAAAAGACCCGCAAGTAGGTTATCATTGTGAATTGACATGGCTATCAGTGTGCAATTTAAAAAAGTAAATTTCAAAGTTCAAGAAGTTTTCGTGCCTCAGCATTATTAAGAAGTAATTGAAAATTGTACTGTATGTGCATTAGCATACACCTCTTCAAAATTTACTTTTAATCTTGGAATAGATTAACAGATACAATTTTTAAAAACAATTTGATGAAAACATGATTCCCAAATTGTTCGAAAAAAAAAGAGGCAATTTTGAAAATTGTACTTACCAAAATTGGTGTGAGTGTTTCCTTTCCAGGAACAAGTAGGTTTACAACAATCCCAGTACCTTGAAGTGGTACATGAACCCCTGAAACCACCCTCAACGAATTCGATTTCAGGTTGGTGTTCAATGATAGCGGCAGCACCTAGAAAATATGTTATAGGATTATCATTTATATACCTACTAAACAAAATTTGATGAGAGAATTTAGTAAGATAGGTACTACTGCAATCGATGCAGACCATGATACACTTTGGAGAAATTGCCAGTTTCATTATGTGGAGATGCCAATAGGGCTTTTCAAAAGTTATAGGCCACGACCACGACTCATCATTAGTTGCAAGATTATAGTCGCGTCAAAACAAAACTGATATCCATCGTATTTTTATTTATTATCTATTACTTTCTACTGGATGTGTACATATTTTACACGATTTTATTATGAAATTGTCTGTACCTAATGTTTAGTTTTGTGGCACATTATATTGCTCTTAATTATCAATAAATATGTAGATATGGCCAATGTGAATTTGTTCTGTTTCTTACATGTGTCTCACAACATAAATAGCTATCATATATTTAGCAATAATGAATATAATATGAGAAAAATATATTTGAGAAAAAAAACCACTTACAAAGGCCAATCGCAACGGACAAAACTGCTAATATGTACTTCATCTTTCAAAACTTCACTCTGTTTATAGAACCGATGCAAGGATCCTTTTATAGTATACCTACACATTAAATTTCAAGTGTTTTAATCTATCGCATAAACACTTCACCCTAGCAATTTCAAAAGCCGATTGATATTTTTTTATATTTTTTATTTTGTTTTTAAAAATTCGATGTTCAATGTTCATGTCATTATCGATTATATAAAGAAACTGACTCATTAGATTAGTTTCAAGTAGTCCAACCAATGTTTCTTCTGGTATTTTGAACTTTGCATCTAAAATCATGATGCAGTTTATCAATATATTTACATACTTTATCTGAAGTTTACTCATTTTGTATAGGAAAATTTTACTATGGACTTAAGTAGCAGAACTGATGCTACCAATGATACCTATATAAAAACTGTCTCGGAGGTGGTAAAGTTTTTTCATCCACTGATATACTGCGAAATAAAATCAACTTTTAATGAATTTTTTCCATATAGTTTTCTGCTTCTACAGAATCCAAACCATTTCAGAAAAAATAATTGTGCAAAATCCTCTACTAACACTGAATCGTTTCAGTGCATTAGTAAACATTTGGTCGATAAATTATCCTCGAGTTCTAGTGAACAGCTTTCGTAGAGAAGCAAAAGAACACGCATATGTATATTTTTTTTCTATTTTATATTTCTCGAAGAAACCCTGCTTTCACCTGAATGGGCCTACAAAATCTATACCAATGCAAAATGGCACGAAGTCATAATTCTGTCTGAAGGTATAATTGCCTTATGAGAGGTGTAGCAAATCTTATGCAATTAAACAACAAATAAATTCACGTTTGGTGCTCTTGGTGAACACGTAGGTCAACATAAGACAACAACTGAGGACAATTAACAATGTTGTTGACTTTCTTGAACAGCATATGAAGGTCTTGGATCATTCTTTCTGGATGAGAAGAATCAGGGGTTTGGATCGGAACACTAGCCAGCACTCAGCACAGTCAACTACAGCAGCACCACCAAACTGGAAGAAAATATGTCTAAGAAATCTTCTCTGTACCTGTTTATATCGAGTATATCGAAATACAGTATCAGAATATATCGTCGGTCTCATGATATAAGGCCCTATCTCGAGATAGGGCCAAAATGAGTTAAGTTCAAAGATATGTTGTATTTAGTGTATACTTGTTTTTAGCCAAGGGTCTTATCTTGAAATCAGGTAATTTCGTTAAAATACTGAGAAAACACATGGCCCTATCTTGAAATATGAATAGTTTTATCACAGCATAAAGGCGAATATTGAGACAAAACTGTTAACTTCTATTTTGAAATGTAGTATTTGACAAAAAACTTACATGAGTTGTTGTTAATAATGTAATAAGGTAGCTGTAAAACTCGATGGCCTGTTCGTAATCCAATGAAACACTAACTGAGAGCAATACTTATTTGATTTTCATAAAATGAATAATTTTATGGCACTAAAACTCTGCTAAAGTGACGACCGAAGTGACAGAACCGATTCTGTCTTTCAACACTAATAATCTGCCCACCTGCAGGCTATCAGTGTCACTCACCTAAGATACCTCTGACCTGTTGCCACCTGAATTCACTTTAAAGGTGGCACCAGTAGGGCTCAAAGTTTAATCATAACATAATCACTACAACTCGGCCGTCCTGACAAAACAGAACGCCCTCGTTCTAAGAATAACATAATAAAATCTAAATTACATAAATAGCACATAAACCTCTTAAGGTAAATATCCAAATTTCTAATATAAGGATAACATGAAAGAGTTAATCTAAATACATAACATAACATAAATAAAAAGTTAGAGAAAATTATCTAGCCTAATTTACAATATCTAATGAGTACCGCAATCAGTACATACATAAATGTTTAAACTCTCGAAAAAATGTTTTTTTTTTTTTTTTTTTTTTTTTTTTTTTTTTTTTTTTTTTTTTTTTTTTTTTTTTTTAATAAGTGAAATATTAATTTAATTACTGGCTGAACATTTCCTTGAATAGTGCTAGTCGCTAATAGGATATCATCAATATAAGTTAATAGCTTGTCGGAATCAATAAGGTCTTTGAAAATTGTGTAAATATATCTCATAAACACAGGAGAATTCTTCAAATCAAAGGGCATTTTTAAAAATTCATATTGTGCTGATGGCGTTACAAAAGAAGTATATTTAACAGACGCTTCGTCAATATCAACATGGTAAAAAGCACTTTTCAGATCTAAGTTCGTGAAGTATTTTTTACCTTTTAACTGTTCAATCTGTTCTTCAATTAAAGGTATGGGCCAATTGTCTCGCAACATAATCTTATTCAAGGTTCTAAAATCAATGCATAACCTAAAATCATTGGTCTTTTTCTTCACCAAGACTATTGGTGAACTATATTCTGAATTGGATTCCCTAATAACACCATCTCTTAACATATCTGATATTAATCCTTGAACAATATTTTTCTCATTGAATGACAATCGTCTTGGCTTAAAATAAAAAGGAGAATGATCTGGTTCTACCTTAATTTGCATTTTACACATAGTTTCAGGCTTCAAGGGTCTTTCAGGTTTTACATAATTATTCAAAAATAAATTAACTAATCTCTGACGATCAATAGCATCGATTTCTGGATTAACATTCAGGTCTAATTCATTTGCATTTACATAATCGATGTGCAAGATTTCGTCAACTACCGTATTGAGACTAGTTTGAAGATTTAATGCACTTACCCTAACTTCGTTACGCTCAAAAGTAAAACATAGATCTTTGCTACACATAAAATCACGTCCAAGTAAACATTTCACAGGTATTGCTTCATTGGGTACCACGTAAAATTTTAAATCCACTTCAATGTCACTATTTATAGATACCTTAAAGATCAGAGACCCCAAAATTTCCAGTTTGGATCCGTTTATACCAGAAAACTCTCTGTCCATCACAGGATGTAATTCAAAATTGAATGGTTCAATAACATTTTCTGTTATTAAAGAGGCAACACTACCTGAGTCCAAGGTACCATCAATATACACTTTGAAGTCATCTTTTACAAGGCACACAGGTAAAATGAATCGGTTGGTCATGTTATCTTCAACAACTAGAGAGGTTTTCTCTTCCTTCACTTTCTTCTTTGGACATTCTGCTTGCTTGTGTTCTATTGAACCACAGTTAAAACATGATCCCTTTGCTCGTACTGGTTTTAGGCACTGAGAAGCATAGTGGCCTACTTTGTTGCAGTTAAAGCAACGAACTGACTCGTTATCTTTGTTTTCTTTGTGGTTTCTATTAACACTATCTGGAGGCTTCAATTGTTTCTTACTTTGCTCACTTTTTTTTTCAACCAATCTTGTTTTTCGAGCACTCACAATCCTCTCATAGGCTATTATGTCTTGGAACAAATTGTCCGCATCTACGTGTAATTTCGACATAATAAAATTACTCAGTTCTTTGGACCATAAACCTATGACAATTTGTTCTTTCAATTCCTCAAATGATAATCCCAAATCTTTGCATAATGCAGCCTTTGAATGGAAATAAATGCTGATATTTTCACCAGCTAACTGGACTCTGTCTTGCATACGCTTCCATAAATCAGTTTTGTTTTTCGGGAAAATAAAGGTCTTTTTGAAAGCCGATTTGAAAGAGTTCCAGTCGTAAATTTCGGAGGCTCTGCCAGCATACCAATATTTAGCAGCTCCTATGAGGTTACTCTTTGCCGTCTGAAAGATAAATGCATCTGGCCAATTGTGTAGCAGTGCCGTTGTTTCCAATTGTTGCAACCATGATTTTGCTTTTTCTAACTCATCTTCAGCACTGAACACTTCAATAGTTTTCGACAAATCAGGCATAACATTAAAATTTCTAACATTTGTTTCTTCATTTCTAACAGGTACTTGCTGATAATGCTGTTGGGATTGTTGCAATGCTTGCAACATTTGTGCATTTTGCTGCAGAAGTGCCGTGACAGTATTCATAAGCAATCCCATGTCAAAATTATTTTGCTGATTTTGTGGAGCATTTCCTGGAGAATTTTCCAGATTTTGTCGAGCATTTGCCCTCTGTTGTACAAAATTTTCGAAATAATTAGCATCATAATCATAATTCTCATCCTCACCATGTGACATCTTGGAAAACTTTCGGTCAATATCCCACTTCTGAAGTTGTAATCAGGGTAGCTGTAAAACTCGATGGCCTGTTCGTAATCCAATGAAACACTAACTGAGAGCAATACTTATTTGATTTTCATAAAATGAATAATTTTTTCTACTGACGTTTCATAATAGAGACTTTTCGATTGTCATTTTAGTTTTTAAATGGCATTCTTTTAAGCACTAGTGCGTAAAAGTGACACTTTTAAGCACTAGTGCCTAAAAGTGTCACTCATTGTTCAGAAATAAAAAACACAGATTTGAATTTTGGCTATTTTTTCATAAATGTTGTAAATGCAATTATTTGAACTACTAAAGTAAACGTTTGGGTTACTCAAAACAGAATTTCTGTTGTTTTTTTCAATAGGATTTCAATTTTCAATCAAAAAAACCTCATGAAAGATGTCAATCAAAAGCAGGTGCCAAACTTTTTTGGCGTGATCGGCTCTTATTTACGAGGAATAAAATTATGTTTTTTTTCAGTATGAAACGCCAGTAGAAAAAATCTTGTATACAACACGTAACGAAACGATGTCTTTTAGTCACTCGACGTGTTGTCCAACTCGGCTACGCCTCGTTGGACAATTTTCACGTCGCGTGCCTAAAAGACACTCATTTCGTAACTTGTTGTATAAATAGCTATTATGGCACTAAAACTCTGCTAAAGTGACGACCGAAGTGACAGAACCGATTCTGTCTTTCAACACTAATAATCTGCCCATCTGCAGGCTATCAGTGTCACTCATCTAAGATACCTCTGACCTGTTGCCACCTGAATTCACCTTAAAGGTGGCACCAGTAGGGCTCAAAGTTTAATCATAACATAATCACTACAATAATTCCAAAAAAAGAGACCAAAAATCAGTATAGTTCTTTATATTAAATTGGCGTAAAGATATTAGTTTTCTTTTAATTATTAATTTAATTAATTAACTCTCCTGAAAACTT